ACGGACGGACATGCATAAATCGACTTAGAAAGTGATTCTATGCATATTCTCAAAAGTAACCATGTGTCTATCTCGTTTCCTTTTGCCTGTTACAAACATATGCACAAAGACATAATACCCTGTACCACAGTGTGGTGAAGGGTATAAAAACCTCGAGGGTCCAGATTAATTGTTCCCAATGGAAGAAGACTTCCACAGTTACCAGAAGAATTTTTTCTTTAAAAAAGTCTACCTTGGTGGCCGGAGGAATATTTTTTCTAGAAAGAATATTCCTAAAGAATCTTCTTCCTAAGATAACACAGATTTTCTGTTTTCTATGGTCCCTTCCTGAACCGAACCTTTAGAGGAATTTTTTATGTTAAAAAAAGACTTTCTCATTGCCCAGAGGATTTTTCTCTAAAAACAAATCTACCAAGGGGTTAGAAAAAAATGTTTTCTTTAAAAAATGGATGAAAAAATAGATTTTTTTTCAATTTTAAAAAAGTTCTGTAAAATCCTGGAAAAATGGTTATTCTTTACATATTGTCATCCACGGGATCCAGAGGATTTTTTTTTAAATGAAAAGGTCTTCCTCTGTGTACAATAGTTATTTTTTTCTCTAAAAAAATCCTCATAAGAGACCAGAGGGAATGTATTTATATAGAAAACCAGTAAGCGGAGCAGTATAGTCGGACGGGGCCGACCATACGATACCCTACACAACTACCACGGAACTCAAATTTTCTGCGGATGTTTATTCCGAGACTGGGCAATATTTCGTGATATTTGCACCCTCTTGCCCGATTAGAGGTAAACAGCACATGTTCCTCACACTGACATATTTTCCGAATATTACGAGTATTCAGTACAACTATTGTCCAGATTCCCTTCACCGTGGGTTGTGTTGTGATGTTCGGCTTTCATTTGAGGTTTATAGATCGACTCGAAAATAACACAAAAAATTAAGTTTTCGGTCCACTTCATTCCAAAATTATTATGTGATCATCACCGAAAATTATAGGCGTTGTCCTTGACCATAACTGGAACCTCATGGAACATTTCAAAGCGATCAGCGCTATAGTTCCGCTCTCCAGAGTGATAATGGGTTACTAAATAATATACGAATACGGAGATACCTGTAAATATTTAGGTGCAACTCCCACATCCGAGCACATACAACAATATAATTTGTCTTAATTTAAAGGTCAACCACTCCTCTTGGATATAATATCAACTTCTCGGGCATATGTCCTTCAGGGGTAAACATATACGCCATAGAATACAAATTTTGTAATTTTTCACACAAAAGTCAGGGTCCATTTGACCCGCTAAATATTGACCGATCTTTCTCCAAACAGGCATGCTTATTCTTTGACCCGATCCCCTTCTCCATGCAAAATTTCACGATGTTCGGGCCATTATTGCGGCCTCTGGAGCGACCAGAAAAACCGACAAAAATTTAGTATTTGGTCCATTTCATCCCCTAAATATTAACCGATCTTTCCCAAAAACAATAGGGGTCTTCATTGGCCAGAACCCATCCTACATGCAAAATTTCGTGAAGATTGGTCCATAACTGTGGCCTGTATCGTGTTTACAAATTATAATGGACAGACGGACGGACGGACACACATGTCTAGATCGACTCAGCTAGTCGAGATATGACGATCGGTATACTTAAAGGTGGGTCTAGGACCAATATTTCGCGGCGTTACAAACATTTGGGGCTGCACAAAGCTATAATACCCTGACAACATAGTTGTGTAGGGTATAAAAAGTCTTCCTGGAGGGTTACAAGAATTTTTTCTATGATGATGGTCATCGAGAATGATCGAAATATTGGAGGTCCCAGAGGAATTTTTTCTATATATATTTCGGACAGAGAATGTTTTTCTATTAAAAAAATGCCGATGGTCCAGAGATATGGAAAAAGTCTTCTTTATGGGTCAATGGAGTTTTCTTTTTATAGAAAAATATTTTCTTAGAAATCAGAGGATTTTCCCCCTTAGAAATCGACTTTTTGGCTGGGCAGGGGATTTTTTTTCTTCAGAACATTTTTTTTTCAATTTCATAAAAATAAATCGGAGGGCCCATAGGGTGAATTTTGTATATGCAGGAAGAAATGCCTAAGGGACCAGAGGATTTTTTTAAATGCCGATTGTCTAGAGATATGAAAAAAGTCTTCTTTAGTGGTCAGTGGAGTTTTATTTTTATACAAAAATATTTTCTTAGAGATCGGAGGATTTTTTTCTTAGAAATAGATTTTCTGACTGGGTAGGGGATTTTTTCTTTCGAACATTTTTTTCAATTCCATAAAAAAAATCAGATTCTTTGCTATAGAAAAAACCTTCTACAAAAATCAGCCTAAGGGATTTTTTCTTTAAAAATAAACTTCACTCAGTCACAAGATATTTTTTTAAGGATTAAATCTTTTTAAAGAAATTTTTTTCTTTATAAATAGACTTCACTCATGGACCAGATATTTTTTTCTAAAGGATTAAGTCTTTTAAAATTACTATAGACCCACAGAATTTTTTTAATTCAAAAAAATTTTCGGAGGGTCCAGAAGATTTCAGTCATGTCATGTTTCTGTTAATAATCGGTAAAAATATTTTTTACATTAGAAATTGACTTCCTTGTGGAACTGAGGATTTCTTTCCAGTGTCAGAATTTTTTAAAATCATTTTTCTATAAAAAATTCAGTTTTTTTTGCTATAACAAATTTTCAACAGGAACAACATAATGAAAAAAATTTTCTTTCTTGTAATTTTTTTGTTAATAATAATTTTAAATTTAATTTTTCTGTTAATAATCGGTCAAAGGATTTTTTACAATAGAAATTGACTTTCTCGTGGAACTGAGGAATTTTTTTAGCGTTAGAATTTTTTAATTATTTTTCTATGAAAAATTCTGCTTTTTTGTATAAAACATTTTCAACAGGAACAACATAATGAAAAAATGTTCTTTCTCATATTAAATATTTTTCTCAGGAATTTCCAAAATATATTTTTGCGAATTATGTTTGTAACAAAAATATTTGTTTTTTTTTTTGAATAAATGTTTTTAATAGAAACAACATAATTTTTTTCTGGGTTCTAAAACTAATAAAAATTTTTTATATATCACATTATTTAATTTTTTTTATTATTAATTTTTATAAATTTTTAAAATTTAATTTATGTAAATATTTCACATTTTTTAATTATTAATTTTTATAAATTTTTAAAATTTAATTTTTTATACATTTTAAATAAATTTTTTCTAATAAAATTTTTGTAATTTTCTAAAACAATTTTTTTTATATATCACATTATTTAATTTTTAATTTTTTTTATTTATTAAGTTTTATAAATTTTTAAAATGTATATGTTATACATTTTAAATATCCGTTTCTAATAAAATCTTGTCTTCTTTTCTCTATCTTTTCAGGCCATGCAAAATAAATAAATAATTACCTCAGTCGTATTTTTATTTTTCCTAATTTTTCCTACCCCAAAATATAACCTTTAAAGGCATTTAATGTGAAAAATTTAAATTTCTAACGTCTTCCCAATTGTCTAGCAATTAAATGCCCTTTGAATGGAAAGCAATAAATAGCCTTGATAACACAAACAAAAACATTACCATGACACAACAACAGCAACACGAACAAATAACACTGTAATGGTAAATATTTGCCGAAGTTAAAAATAATCAACAACAACAAAAAACGAAAACGAAACAGAGAAATATCGTTTAATTTGCAATCACTGTGAGTGAGTGTGTGTATGGCCTCATAACAATAACAACATAAATAAATGAAAATAACAACAATAAATGATTAGGAGATAATCAGCAACAAGAAAGATAAATAACAATAACAACAAGCATCAAAGAAAATACCAAAGGCTCTTAACGGTACTCTCTAAACAACAACAAAAAACAAATACTAAAGGCTCTTTACCGTATTCTCTAAACAACAACAACAAACATATACCAATGGCCCTCTCTAAAGAACAACAAAGAAGCATATACCAAAGGCTCTTTACGGTACTCTCTCAACAGCAACAACAATAAACATATAACAAAAATACCAAAGGCGCTTTTTGTTTACGTTACTACCTCTCTAATGTGTGTGAGAGTAACAAATGCATGAGAAAGAGAGTGAAAGTCCAGCACGTGTAATCAACAACAACAACTGTAGCCCAGCATAATTCCTGCTTTGTTTCACCGTCTCTACCAACACACATTAGTCTATTGCCGTAGACTCGGTTGTACTCTGTGTGTGTGAACGAAGAGCATAACAGTGAGCGAGGCAAGCCGAGAAAGCACGAGTGCCATTTGTTTACAAGGAGATTCTCTGTTATACACTTGCACGTGTTAGAGCCCGTACGGCTGACTGTGCTTTGTTTACATCACACGTAGTAATGTGTGGGAGCAGAGTATGTGTGTGAGAGAGAAGTAAATGTGTGAAATGGAGAGTAGAGAGTGCGTTAACCATTGTTGTTGTTTATTAAGAGCTTACTATAGCACGTGAGCTAAAGTAAACAACTGTTAAGGAGGAAAACAAATCATACTCAGTGGATTTGTTTACATTTTGTGCACAAAGACACACAGACACACACCCATACATTTAAAGCAACACATTGGGTCGTAGGTTTAATAAGGGAAAGCGTAATTTAAATAAAATATTTATATATTAAAAAATAAATAAAAATTTAAAAAAAGTATATAAAAAATCTAAGAAAATACAAAAACAGCAACAAAACGGCTTCAGACCAAAGTGCATTGGTATTGCATCATCTTCCATTGTATACGTCTCCATCGAATACCACCTTCATATTGTCTTCTTGTTCATCGTCTCCTTCTTCCTCTGCCAATAAGACACATTCTTCCCTTAACGGCAATCAGCAGAAAACATCATCAATAGAAATTAAAGAACAAGACCAAGTTCGAATATCACCCAAAACGGCGGCACAGACACCAACAACAACAGATAACAACAATCATAGCCACGGCCACGACCCCTCAACAAGACCCAACACCACCATGTTGCGTAGCTGCGTTTGCTTCGGCCAGCGTGGCAATCACAAACAGCGGCGTAGCTCATCGTTTGATACATCATCGTCATGCCGTTCATCGGAAATTGAACGTGGTGGCAAGACGGCCACCACCTTCACAGCCAGTGGCAGTGGCGGCGATAATCAGCGCCAGAATCAAGTTGCAAATGGTCGTATGGCCTCCAGTTTGTTGCAGTACTTTCAGACGAAAGGTTGGCTCCGGCATTGGCGTAAACCGACAAGGGGTCTCAGCATGACCAAAATAGAAATCAGTAAGTACAAAAACACACATTTTCATATTAATTCAAAAAAAAATAACAACAAAATCAAAATTGAAAAATTTAAATTAAGGTCCCAATGGGTCCTCTCCGTATGTCCATGAAAAAAATCCTATGTTGTTTAAAACAAATTTACATTTTAAGTGGATTTTAGTGTTCGCCTTCCCCCTGTTTATGTTGCTGCACTCAGCCATAATCGGTACTTAACCCGATTTTTTTTTTCGAAATTTATTGACCATTATCGAAGAACGGCGCGGGCCGTTAGTTTAAAAGAAACGCATTTTTTATTGAATAAAAAATAGTAGATTTTATTTTTTTCTTTCAAGCTGTGTGTGTCACCATTTGTTGGGTTTATTTTTCTTTGAAGAAAAACAAGGAAAAACAAATGGAAAAAATGACATCATGCTATTGTGACGAATAATAGGAGGACAGGCAGAGATTTTTGGCATGCATGACTAAAAAAATTAAAAATTAGGGATTACATTTTTCTAGAAAAAAGGAGAAAAAATGCACTATTAATCGATTTTTTTAATAAAGTATTATCGATAATTTTTATAAAAACGATAATTGTAGATAAAGTAGTAATCTCTAAAAAAATCCACACCTTATATAGATCCCGAAAAATAATCTTTAAAAAAATCCTTATAGGCGAAAAATAATCTTTGAAAAAAATATATAGATCCCGAAAAATAATCTCTAAAAAAATCCACACCTTATATAGATCCCGGAAAATAATCTTTAACAAATCCAGGCCTTATATAGATCCCGAAAAATAATCTCTAAAAAAATCCACGCCTTATATAGATCCCGAAAAATAATCTCTAAAAAAATCCACGCCTTATATAGATCCCGAAAAATAATCTTTAAAAAAATCCACGCCTTATATAGATCCCGAAAAATAATCTTTAAAAAAATCCACGCCTTATATAGATCCCGAAAAATAATCTTTGAAAAAAATCCACGCCTTATATAGATCCCGAAAAATAATCCTTAAAAAATCCACGCCTTATGTAGGTCCATAAAAATAATTTTTAAATTTTTTTCGCTTCGATGTCACGACTGTGTTGTCATTTAAAATAATGAGGTCATTTTCCGAAAAACGTCATGTTGCAGTTGCGGGCAAACAATCAACCACATAGCCGACACAAAAAAGGCAGGACAATAACTGCCTCGCACATTTGCGAAAGTGCCGACCAACAACACCATCTTTGAAAAAAATGGTTCTTGTTGTTGTTTTTCCAATTGGTGGTATTCTTTCTATGAGTGTTTTTGTGCGGAATATTGAATTTTTCGTGGCCGTGACGACCGACGTGTGACACATCACTGTTTGACTAGACTTTGATTGCAGTCCGTTTTTTGTTTGATGGACACCAGACAAGCGGCATTTCGGCCTTTTAACTGAATATATTAAAAAATATTCAGGGTAACCAGGGCGAGGACAAGTAGCCATGCCATGGAGACAAACTGCGGAATATTGAAATATGGGTTTTGTATTTTTTTGTTGGGTCCTTGGGGCAAAAAAATCCTCAGCAATTCCGATTACTTTAAATGTTTATTTTTAATGGAGGAAATATTTAGGCTCCTTAAGCCTTCATTAACTTCGAATTATTACGACTGCAGTTACCATTCAAGGTCCACTTATTTTCCCATTTAAATTAATGGACTCTAATGCGTATACGTTGTGACAATAATTATACGCCCTGAAGTACCCATGACGATTTATTTATAAATTTCTTTCTCGGATTATTGCTTTGTAAATAATTTGGTTTGTTAAATCATTATCCCTCTGCCTGTGTCACATCCTTCATCCTTTCTCCTTCGATTCTAACACATAATTCCGTTATGCTACATTAATATTTAAACAGCTCACAATATTTACATAAATATTCCGATTTCAAGATTGAGAGTCTATCTCTCTAGTAGTAGCCATATCCTCAAGTGAATACTTCACAGCAGACAGGAAGAGCAGCCGGAAAAAAAATCAACAAACAAATAAATATATGCGCAAATCTATTTATAATGCAGTTGAATAATTCTCGAGAGGGAAATAAAAGCCAGGAGATAAAAAATAATCGAATATGAACAGTGGGCCCCAATAAAAAAATATTTAAAAATTTTTGAAGAATACTTAACTTGTAGGGAACCTCAAAAATATTTTTTTAAGAAATCTTCACCTTATGAAGAACCTCAAAAATATTTTTTAAAGAATCCTCACCTTATGAAGAACCTCAAAAATATTTTTTAAAGAATCCTCGCCTTGTGAAGAATCTCAAAAATATTTTTTAAAAAATCCACGCCTTGTGAAATAACTCAAAAATATTTTTTTTTTAAATCCTCACCTTGTGCAGAACCTTAAAAAATGTGAAAATTTCCTAAAAATTAATTTAAAAATGTAAAAAAATCGTATTATTATTTTTCTGATAGACCTCTAAAACGTCGATCTTCCTCTGATATTTCTTGCGACAATATTAAATTAATCGGCTCTTTGAATACCTCGTGGCGTATGATGTGTGTCACAACGTATACGCCACATTGTAACAACAAATCAAATATTTATTGAGATTCAATATAACATTTTGCATTGATATTTTAATGTTAACCCTTATATTTAGAGATTTTTGTTATTCCCAGAACCCAAGTAAAATTTGATGGAGAATATTTCCTACCTTGACATTATCCCGCTAGAATCAACCCAAAGTGAAGTAATTGCTCCTACAAAATATTACTGAAGAAAAAAGTAATATATACATTTTTGGTTGATTTTTATAATTGTCACCAATATTTTACAGATATCTATTATAGGTACACTTATCTTCAGTACGGAGACCTATAGTGGAATTTGGTGAGGATCATTTTCAGCCTTTATGGAAACCTTCTAAAGTGAATCCTTAATGGTGAATTTGGCCCAAGTTCGAAATACTCAAAATGGGGTAAAAAACACAAATATTTTTGTAGGAAATAAATAGCGCTTTTTCCTTTTCCAATATTTCAGCTATGGATTTGTATCTGTTGGAAACCCATAGTGAAATTTGATGAAGAATATTTTATACCTTCACATTATCCCACTAGAATCAACCAAAAGTGTGGTAATTGCTCCTGCAAAATATTACTGACGAAAAATATAATATATACATTTTTGGTTGATTTTTATAATTGTCACCAATATTTTATCGATATCTGTGATAGATAGGCTTAACGTCGGTACGGTGACCCATAGTGAAATTTGATGGACATTATTTTCTCCCTTGATAGCAACCTCCTAAAGTAATTCCATATTAGTAATTTTGGACAAAAGTAGAAATGCTCAAAATAAGGTAAAAAAGTCACTTATTTCTGTAGTAAATTTATACCGATATTTCTGGGCCATATATTATATCTATAGATTTGTATTCTTTGGAGACCGTTAGTGAAATTTGATGAGGAATATTTCTTCCATTGATATCGTCTTCCTAAAGCCCGCCTATGTGGTTGTAATTGACCTTACAAAATATTACTCAAGAAAAAATCGTTCGATAGAATTTTGTATTTATTATTGTAATTGTCACCAATATTTTATCGATATCTATTATAGCTAGACTTTTCTTCAGTACGGTGACCCATAGTGGAATTGGATGAAGATTATTTTCTGCCTTGATAGCAACCTCCTAAAGTAATTCCATATTAGTAATTTTGGGCAAAAGTAGAAATGCTGAAAATAAGGTAAAAAATCACTTATTTCTGTAGTAAATTAACATCGATATTTCTGGGTCATATATTATATCTATAGATTTGTATTCTTTGGAGACCCTACGTGAAATTTGATGATGAATATTTCTTTCCTTGATATGGTCTTCCTAAAGCCCACTTAAGTGAATGTAATTGACCCTACAAAATATTACTAAAGAAAAAAATGGTTCGTTAGATTTTTGACTCATTATTGTAATTGTTACCAATATTTTATCGATATTTATTATGGATAGACTTATCTTCAGAACGGTCACCCATAGTGAAATTTGATGGAGATTATTTTCTTCATTGATACCAACCTCCTTAAGTAATTCCATAGTATTAATTTTGGACAAAAGTAGAAATGCTCAAAATAAGGTAAAAAATCACTTATTTTTGTAGTTAATTAACATCGATATTTCTGGGTCATTCATTATATCTATAGATTTGTGTTCTTTGGAGACCCCTAGTGAAATTTGATGAGGAATATTTCTTCCATTGATATCGTCTTCCTAAAGTCCACCTAAGTGGATGTAATCGACCCTACAAAATATTACTCAAGAAAAAATCGTTCGATTGATTTTTGACTGATTATTGTAATGGTCACCAATATTTTATCGATATCTATTATAGGTACACTTATCTTCAGTACGGTGACCCATAGTGAAATTTGATGGAGATTATTTTCTCCATTGATAGCAACCTCCTAAAGTAATTCTATATATGTAATTTTGGACAAAAGTAGAAATGCTCAAAATAAGGTAAAAAATCACTTATTTTTGTAGTAAATTTACATCGATATTTCTGGGTCATATATTATATCTATAGATTTGGGCTCTTTGGAGATCCAAAGTGAAATTTGATGAGGAATATTTCTTCCCTTGATATCGTCCTCATAAAATCCAGCTAAGTGGAAGTAATTGAACCTACAAAATATTACTCAAGAAAAAATCGTTCGATTGAATTTTGACTCGTTATTGTAATTGTCATCAATATTTTACCGATATCTATTATAGATAGACATATCTTCAGAACGGTCACCAATAGTGGAATTTGATGAAGATTATATCCTTCATACATAACAACCTCCTAAAGTAATTCCTTAATTGTGAATTTGGCCCAACTTCGAAATACTCAAATTTAGGTAGAAAACTCAAATATTTTTGTAAGAAATCCATACCGCTTTTTCCTTCTCCTATTTTATAGCTATGAATTTGTATTTTTTGGAGACCCATAGTGAAATTTGATGCAGAATATTTCTTACCTTGATATTATCCCGCTAGAATCAA